GTGCTACGCTCGCGAGAGAGAAGCGACGCGGTCCGCAACGCGTGTCGCACCACATCCATTTCACTATATGTGACTTATCTGAGCCACTTTATTCACAAGAATGGGGAGCTTCAGAAATTCATCATGAGTCTCGCTAAATACACCTTGAATATACGGTGATCGATTTATTGATTTTATTGATTTTTAGATATCATACGCATGGATGCGCAGGACAATCTGGCAATGGACACCTCGTGGGCTGGTCATGATCAACAGCCACAAACCAGTGGCGGTCAATTCCAGTATACGAAGCCAGTTCATCGACCGAATCAGCATAGCCCACCCCAGGACTACTACGATCCGAACAGGTATGTTCTAAAGGATATCTGATTGTGGAAGGTTGGGAAAGAGGGAAATTTAGGTTTAACCTATGCTGTTGTCAATGTGTAGGGTACAATATTTCCGAAGATCATTTCCAAGGGAAAACATACGCTAAGGGAGATCTTTCCAGGAATCGTGAGATCGGTTCCATCGTTTCGCTCCTGCAGTCACACTCTCCACCATCGTCGGATCCTTATGCTGCAATGAAGTGAGTATTTACTCGAGGACTCTCAGTAAATGTAACAGCTGGTTTCGGCGCTGTTCGCCTTGGGAGGGGCATTTGCATTTTGCACTTTCGCTAATTCTTTTCGCTGGTTTATTTATATTAACTAACAGATCTTACTTTGATCGCACCTCTAAACTCCTGCGAAGTTACGAAATTTTCCCAGAAAACTTGCTCAAAAAATTTTACAGCCTTTACCAGGCACTGTGAACTATACAAGCTTACTTGTGTATCATTCGGTGCCCCCACCAAGCCGAACTGCATCGTTGGTTCCGACTCCCTCAAGGACGTTCAGCGCGTTTTTTTCTGTTGATATAACTGCGCCCAGCCATGAGTTGGATCATTGACAAGCATTTTTAGGTTTTCACCGCCGAATTTCGACTCGTCGCTCAACGGTGGTGGTCCGGCGAGTATGCTGCCAAAACTTGGCCCTCCAACAGTACCACCGTTACAACTCAACCACTACCAACCGAGTTCATTGGTGAGTTGTCCGTATTTCTATGGACTAACTTTTTACTATTTCTTGCCCCACCATTCATTTCATTTGGAGGGGAGCAAATAGTTAGTGAAGGAAATTGTGCCCTCTAGAAACAGGTCAATAGAATTGAGTATTCGGAGAGATGCATAAGCCTTCTTCAAGTAGCCGGCTAAATCACGCCTGACTGCTTTCCACTCGAAGGCAGTGCACACTGATCACATGAGCGGAGTCAGTGTTCCCATCGCGCTTTCCTCATGTGCATTTTCCGTGGTGAGGAAACGGAAAGCTTAGAAGAAGATGCGAGCATGAATTGCGCATGTGGAAAGCACTAGTCGACCTGGAGGGAGGATTTTGAACTTTCGCCGGTTCCTTTTGTTAGTTCATGTCACATTACTGGTTTTAGTTTGGTGACACCCGAACTTCTGTCAATCAGGGAAATGTTGAGCCGCTTTGTTCACAGAAATTCACAGGTGCTACAAGGTGATCTGCACAAGCTCAGTTCCATTCAGTGCTCCCAACAAGCCATACTGCGCCCATGTGGAGTACATGTGCAACGCACTGGGATCGGAAGACGAGTCCTTTCGAGAATGGACCTTCAAACAGGCGAAGTCCGCACAATACAAGACCTCAACCGGCTGTAGGGTAGGGAGGTAATCCGTGGCTCTCAGCCCCGTTTACAAAATATTTGTGCACGTCTTTTCGTCCAGGGCCAACGTGGTCTTCGGTCGGCAGTTTAGCACGGCGACGTGTCGTTTTACGAGTCGGTCTTCCTTATTCGATAACGAACCTCCGCATCATAACGATGCGATAGAAAAACAGAGCCAGTCGTGACAATCTCTTGAGAGCTAAGAGCTACAGTAATCCTCCACGATAACCCTAGGCCGGGTCTGGTGGCGGTGACCATTGGCCCGCATGGCAACTGAGCAGTAAACGAAAATAGCCAAACAAATACGCTTATCAGTTGTTATTCTCTTATCAACCTTGCTAAACCGGCTTTGGATTCCACAGGCTGATTGAAGGGTTGCGAATCGAGGAGTGTCTTGGAAGGCACCAGCCAATGTCTCGTTAAGCCCGGTAATATGTTTCGTGGGTCTTTTGTCGCTTTACAGACCCCAAACGCTCGTTGGGGATAAAGCGTAAAGGTGTTGCCGTTACCACGGCTTATCAGCGATTGAAAGCAATCAACAACTTTGCGAAGCCGTTCTTCGCTTTAAACTCTGCTCAAGCGCCTGTATGCAAAGATAAAAAGCAAATATTTCGATTATAGAACGCGAGAACGCCCATCAGATCCAGCAGCCTACAACTGTAAATGCTCTAACATCTCTAGTCCGCGTGTAGGAATTTCAGCCAACAGTACATAAACGAAGACGGCACTGGCCATCAAGACTGCGTTTATACTTCGCGACTCGACCGATTCAGTTGCGCGATATGGAAATAAAGTGAGTGTGGACGGCTCAAACCCCGCGATAAATGGCTGCTCCTCTGCAACTATCGTAAGAATGTCCTTCCTGAATGCGTCTGAAAAGTGCACTCGTTATCACTGAAGTCAGTCGGGTGTCAGCGTCGCTGGGTTTTGACGGCTCCTTCCCAGCTCTCATTGGACGCGCAGTTAGTGGGAAACAGGTTGATACCGCACCTGAACCCGCGCGCCGCTGACTCGCCTCAACTATTTTAGTGATGATGCCACAAGAATACAGAGTTATGGGCAAAAGTCAGACCACGGACGGGATTCGAACCCGCATCTTCTGCTTACCGGGCAGTTGCGTTCCCTATTACGCTACCGGGGCCACTTTGACCACTCAGCTCAATGGCTATTTGTGCCACTGCCTTCGAGCACTCACACGTTCAACGTGATGAGTTAAGTGATGATGACTGTTAAGATGACATTGCCGCAATTCCGCGATGCGGTCTCAGGAGGCGTGGAATGATCCCACCGCAGCTACATTTCCACCAACAGTGGCTGATTGAGGGAGAAGGCAGAAGTAGTAGAAAGCACCAAGCCCTTCCCACGGCCTCGTGTCATCCGCCGGATGGCAACGATATCGACTGCAGTTGGAGCTGTTTAACGACTAGCGGTAGAACAAGGAAATCGCAGTCGCACGGCAGAGTCGATACGTTACCTAGATGAAACATGGATAGCTTTCTGGTTTTAAAGTACTTCATAGTCTTTGAAGACTCTATCCGCGATAAATTGATGGGCGGAGACTCATGATCACCATTGGCCTCTCTGCGCATTTCCTAGCACAACCGATCGTCGCGGTATTTCTCCTCAACAGCTGACGAAGTCGTGAATAGGGAAGGGTGAGAGTGTGAACAGGCACTCGAGACCAGTTCTCATGGGACATCCTGCATTTTGATGTCAGAACCTCGTTCTCAAGATATCGTGCACTTCAGTGCATAATTGAAGCGCCCCTTTTTTACGATTTTCCGTGCTAAAACGAAGTTTTCAAAGAATTCAAAAAGGTAATGATAGTGTTATCAGTTATCAACTGTCAACGAGTGTAGCTGTCATCTGTGCTGAAAAGCATGAGCGTCTCTGCAAACATTGGTGGTTTTGAAGGGTTTCGTCGACTGAAAAGGCAGACGAAAAAAGATAACAGCTTCTACGTAGCGGCGATGAATTCGGGCACACCTGCAGCAGTTTCGCGACGAAACACTTTACAAAGAGGGGTAGTCGCTACAGGTCGACTAGATAGGCGTTAGATTTCGAGTCGCGCTGGACCAAATGCCCCTTGCTCCCAATTCCATGGCTTGTTGAACAACGCTGACTGCATGTTTGTGCTGACCGCGTGTAGACCAAGTATCTAAGGCGATTACCAAGGCAAGAAGGGTCGCAGAATCGGTGATGTTCTTTGATGAGCTTCGTCCTTTTCGCTACCTTTTGACAGTTTTGAATCATTCCCGAGCTGCTGGCTTCCTCTTGCTCAGTTCCAGTTCATCATATTGATCTCTTTGCCTAGGTATACATGGATGGCGCACGTCCACGTTCTGTTAGAGGACTACCGATTAAAGGCAAGTGGCACGATAAACCGACAAGGCGTACAGAGTCGTTACACCTAGCACGGCAGCATATTGTGCCCTTTGGCAGGCGCTGCAGGGCGCTTTTTCCAACTAAGGGCTCCATTATAGCGCGTAAGCAAGATGCAACTTGCCGACCCATACGCCCATCACAACCGCCCACAAATGGTCGGACAGTCACATCGACGCTGGTACTCTTATTGTTCGTTCATGAAGTATCATTGGTATGAAGTGTTGCTACATGGATATATGAAGACATTCGCAGCCGTATCTATCAAGACGGTTAGTGCCACTTTGGCAACGGGAAAAAAGTGCTGTTCCAATGCTGTGCAGAGCGAAGGCTTTCTTTGCAAGTTTTTGACCGTTTAGCTTCGCTTTTATGCCATTCAGCCTCGCTTTTCGTCATTTTCCCTGTATAGCACCCCTGCCACTATTCTTGAGCAGTTACCAAACTAACGTACCCCATGCCTTTGAATACACGCTGTACGATCAGCTCAGGAGTTAAACCTCTTCATATGCGAGGTGAGCAGGTCCGTAGCACGAAATCTGCACCACGCCCGCCATTTTGAATTCCGCAACATGGGAGCAGAGGAATCATGATAGTTTTATTTTCGTTTCAAGTCGCCCATTTTTTGGCATGCAGTACTCACGCCACAGGTACGCCACACGCAACACGGTTATCTATGCGTGAGAGCGCGTTGACAAGCACCATGCGTGGTGCCCTTAGGACGTATGGCATGGCTGTGGAGTGCGCAGGTGTGTATCGAGCAACGTGCATAGATGGAGTAAAAAGCAAGCCATCACGACGACACTTTATTACCCACAACGGTAGAAATGATTTGTCCAATAGAACGAACTATTGTGAAGGGCTGGCCAACATCGACTTCAAGGTGGCACCCATTTAACCCTTTACTTACACTAAGTCTCTATCATTTCTGCAAAGTCTTGTTTTTTTTTGCTGTCGTTCTTTTTAGTTGTTTGTTGTTTCTTAATAATTTGTTCTTTCGTTTTACGCAATTACATGTCACAGACCATGTAATAAATTTGAATTTAATTTGAATGCCCTCTTTATTCCTGTCTCCTTCACTTGAAGCTACCTCCCTCTTTTCCTCGATTCTGTGGTGAGAAAACAGGCTGCAAAGAAGAGACTTGGTTCTGGGTGAGCTTTGGGCCAGAAATGGCTATTTGTAAGCAGTTATGAGCTCAGAAATGACCTCCACTGTTTGAGAGACGATTTGGCGAATACTGGATTCGTTTTTATGGTGTAATTTCTGAGTAATACCTTCTTTTTCTTTTACAGTCTCAACAACTGGCTGCTCCGTCGATGCAACCGCTGCCGCCGGTGATGTCACCACCGGCGATGTATATCGACACGAAGCAGACCTATCTGCAGACATCGCCTGAGGTACAGTACTGTGGTCAGGATGATTTCTCGAGAAACAGCCACAAAAGAAAAAAAGCTGCACTGTTTCCAGCAGAACTACATGCTCTCGCCAAGTGTCGCCTATCCCTCCTGTCAAACGGCAACCTGCGTGAAAGTGGAATCGCCGGTGTCGATTCAAATGACACGAACACCTTCCGGTGGAAGTTTGGGCGACCTGATGACGTCTACCGTACCCATCAGTCCCACAACCAATGGCACCACCACAAAAGAGGAACTGCTGAGATTACTGGTAAGTCCACTCCATGAATTCGGTCGAATCCTATTCTGGAACATCTTTTTCGCAGGTGAACATGTCTCCTGGTCAAGTAGAGCGACTCAAAGGGGGAAATCGCTCGAATTCTGTAGTGCGAGCTCGTCCATCGGCAGTAGCGACCAGAGTGCCACGAGATGAAGTGTGGCAACAAGATGATGACTCTGATGACGAGGACGAGGTAGTGACAGATGAACCACGACGCAGAGGTACGAGATTATAAGTAGATCGGGGATAGACGGGGGTTGACAACAAAAAGTGACCGACGGGCGCGACAAATCGTCCCAACTGGGCGGTGTCCACCCACTGATGCCCGTGTTTGCATAATGCGTATCCAACTTATATCACAAATTCTAGGAGGATTCGGGCAATCACCACACATCTTACTAGGGAGGTCGTTCAGGACGTGGAGCGCTTTTTGAAAACGGTTTTTTGCATGATGTGGGGTCACGTGCATGGAGTACCAAACTGGTGTTCATTTTTCCTGAACGCCTCTGGGAATGCCAAAAATGGAGTGAAAAAGAAGTCCATGGAAACCGACTGTTTTTGAGCCTGAATGGGCTCTAAATCACTCGCAACTTCGGCCAGTTGCTGCCTATAGGGTCCTTATAAAGGTACTGGTATCGATGAGAAAGTAGTCGCCAATGGGGTCCTACTTGTGGCACGTAGTCCCCAATTTGGAGCCAAGTCTTTCTCCCACTGGAGTCGCTATGTACATTCGTTTGAGGGACTTGCAGGGCCATTCTGACGCCAGATTGGATTGACGTCAAGAATAAGTGTCAGAATCGTGATCAGGACCATCGATTACCCCTATAGGCAAACTTTCGGCCAAAAAATTTTTTTGACTTTTTTGAGTTGTGATAGACCGACCATTTGGTCGTCGGTGATGACCGGAGACCCACAACTTTGGAGCTGCGATGACGTAGCGATGACGTGGTGGGCCGCCGGGCAGCCGCATCGCGGATTTGGTGCTCATAAGGTCCATTCATACTTGGCATGGGTGGCCGCAGAACAAGTGAAAAACCATCCTGGACATTTGTCGACCCCCACGACTTCTCGCTCAACGAAGATGTCGTCCTCCCCTACCAAGAGGAGAGACTCATCCGATTTCTTCATCAAATGCACCTGGAGGAATGATGACTATTTTGTTCTTTTTTTCGATGGCGTTTATGGTTGTTGCTAGTTTTTTGTTCCGTACCACTGAATGAGGGTTTCGATAACCAGCAAAAGTACGACTTCAACAAAGTGACTCTTGAGCATAACCCAATGCACAGACTCAAAAAAGTCAAAAAAAATTTTGGCTGAAAGTTTGCCTATAGGGGTAATCGATGGTCCTGATCTGACACTTATTCTTGACGTCAATCCAATCTGGCGTCAGAATGGCCCTGCAAGTCCCTCAAACGAATGTACATAGCGACTCCAGTGGGAGAAAGACGTGGCTCCAAATTGGAGATAAATGGCACTAGAGCTGAAAGTAAATGCCATAGTCGTGATCAGGGCACCGAATAACATAAGCTCAGCTTTCAGACAAGTTCTTGCTTAATGGTATGTGAAATCGAAATTGCTGAATAGCACCGGGGTATAACTATTTAGGATGTGCCTATAAATGGCAGATATCCGAGTAAAATTCATTAACAGACGTATATGGAAGCGACAACAACGGAAAATAAAAAATGCAAAAACGTGCAAGCCGAGGGGAGTCGAACCATCATCCCCCATCCCCACTGTCTGCTTGAGAATCCTCCACGCTATCCACTAGGCCATCCGATCGTTGGCACAGGCACCACTTCGATTGCTTAAGAGCCCATTCGAATTGGCCGTCGACTCTTAACTACGTGCCACAAGTAAGACCCCATTGACGACCACTTTTCTCATCGATACCAGTACAACCTTTATAAGGACCCTATAGGCAGCAACTGGCCGAACTTGCGAGTGATTTAGAGCCCATTCAGGCTCAATAACAGTCGGTTTCCATGGACTTCTTTTTCACTCCATTTTTGGCATTCCCAGAGGCGTTCAGGAAAAATGAACACCAGTTTGGTACTCCATGCACGTGACCCCACATCATGCAAAAACCGTTTTCAAAAAGCGCTCCACGTCCTGAACGACCTCCCTAGTTAGTGAAGGTAACCGTTCAAACCTGTCAAATCTCAACTTTTTCCAGGACCTAAAACTGAGCGTCGAACTGCCCATAATCTCATAGAGAAAAAGTACCGGTGCTCCATTAATGATCGCATCCAACACCTTAAAACAATATTAGCCGGTGACGATGCCAAGGTACGTTTCCTGGGCAAACTGGGCCCTTTTTGTGGTCTCCAGTGTCGCTGTCCAAGTATCCGAATTCCTCGTTCAGCTCAGTAAATCGGCCACGTTGCGAAAAGCCATAGAGCACATTGGCCGGCTTGAGGCTGAAAATCATGATCTGAGATTGGAAGTACAACGTCTCACATCAGTCCTGCACAGCCACAACATTGAGGTTTGTCTGGGTTCTGTGATCCGCTCATAATTAATTTCAGTAGTGGAAAAGGAAATTGTGTAGTAGTGACGCGTGCGATTGCGTTGCGGCCAGTAGCAGTAGTTTCTCGTTCAAGTGAAGGCGAAGTCACTAGTAAAACATAGTTGAGGATTTGTACACACATCTTCCGAAACTTCTAACAATCTCAGATTGCTAAAAAATCTGTGAATATTGCTGTCTTCATGCCGAGATTAATAGAGAGTCGATCATGGCATCTTCCGAAAGTTTCCTGCAAGTATTCACATCTCCCCATAGCTGGTGCTTCTTTGATTCTCATTCAGAGTTCAGGCTACTCAGTGACGCTCTTGTTTTTGCGCCAAAACGTCCTCTAAACTCATGTGGAATGAAGGTATCGCGGCTCGCTGCAAGGCAGCCGCACGCGACAACACTACATAATTCTAAACCCGACATGGTGTCTAGTTACGACTTATTCTCGAAGTTTTTGAATAACTCCTGTAATTTCAAGGTAATCCCGCCACCGCCGACAATGCTAATGGGATCGCCAACATTAAGCCCTTCCACTTCGTCAACCAGCATACAGTCTCCTGGAGCTGCGGTATTATCTAATCATTTAGAGAGACGGTATCTGGTTTGTTTCAAGTTCAGCATTTGCAGAATTCGCCGGGAACATCACCGACTTTACCCCTGAGAGGCGTCAAGAGGCCGCGAGCTAGTATGGAGCAGGTGAACCTATGCAGTATTAGGCCTGAGTGATTGACCACAAATATTTGTTCTGACTACCGTCAGTATTTTTCTACGCACTGCACTCACAACTATCACTTTTCCCTTGGAACGTAATTCCAACCAATGTACAAGGAGATATTCAGGGGCGGGTGACCATCTTTGCTATTATGTTCGCGATGCTCATGTGGAACCCGTTGAGCCTGCTGGCAACCGGGTCATCGGTATCAGCCAGTAGCAATGGTCACCATGAAGCTCTTCCCACAGGTGGACGAGTCATCACTGAAGTAAGTCTACATTTCGTCTCGCCAGTTTCTTTTTTCCTGGATTTCTACATAGTCTACAACAACAACTGTAAGGGGAAACTAATTCCCTTTTGCCCTCCGTTCGTGGACACGTGCCAGCGCAAAATGCGCTCATATTCAGAGTGGAGATCCGTTCGACAACTATCTCACGCCGGACGAATGGTGGCAAACTCGCGTGATTCAACCATGTTTTGTGTGGTCCGTGAACATTTTCGTCGTCATTTGCGTCCTAACTCGGCTTCTTGTCTACGGTGAACCTGTGCAGGTAATATTCTACCCATCTGGTGAGCCTATAGCATCTTTTTCTTCGGACTTAAATAGAAATATCTTAGGATTTCAAATCGCGATCATGGCGTGTTTTTCTTTCGTTGCGAGCGCGAGCACGTGAAGAGGCAGACGTTGGGAACGTGCGAGAAGCACAACGGCAGTACCTCGAATGCTTGCAGGTACTAAGGCGGAGATTTACCGTTTTCGAACAATTTCTCAGAAGGGAAAAACGTCACACGACCATTTTTTCGCTCATCGTGGTGATTGAGCAAATCCTGCTATAAGCGACGCGACTGCGCGCGGCAGCTCCATCCAATTGCAAAAACTGAGACACGCGATATGCTGCCCCTAACAGTAGTGTATTTACGTCAGAACCGCTGAACGACGCTAAAATATTAGAATTCCCGAGAACTTTCACCATTTCATGGTTTTTAGATCCTTGAGCGACCCCTTCCATCAGCTGGCGTGGAACAAGCGCTTTCTGTTGTTTGGCAGATCATCCGCCATACGTTGAATGGGCTGTGGATTGGCAGGTATGGCTCTGTAACGACCGGGCTGTTGTGCACGACTTTCTTCATGCGACCTACAATTTTCATATAACCTAGTGTGTTTACAGATGGTTTTCGCGGCGAAAGCGAGACGCTGGAAAGCCTGTCACGGTCGTCTGCAAAAGCCATGCTCATACCGCTATGATATACCACAAGATGCATCAGGTGGGTCAGATCAGGGCAAGCTCAACTCCTTAGCTCTTTGTCGTGTACTCTGTTTGAAAGGGCGAAGGGTCAGTTATTCGAGAAACTGAGACACGCTCATGTTTCAGCTTCATCTATTGGGTGTTGACGAGTCAAGTGAAGGCATTTCTGGGCTATATCTTGCCTTGTCTGCTGTCAATTTGGCCGAAAGCGCGGGAGCATCAACAGATGGCTTGCCAAGGAATGTACTGGCTGATATTTATATCGCTGCCGCTATCAGGTAAGGATGCTCAAAAGATTCCATAGGAACCAAAGCTCTCCATCTTCTCTTCACAGAGCTCGACTTTGTCTTCCACCATGTCTCGCCTCGATTTTCTCCCCATACTTCTACAAGCGGGCACGGCGACATGTTCGACGAGCGGACGAGGACACTGTGAGTTTTTTGCTTTGTAGTTTTAAGAACTGCCATCTGGCGGTCTGTTCTCAGTGAAAAATTTTCCGTAGGCAAGGCAACATAAATGAGAGGGGAAGGGAGCCCAGGCAAGTCAGGCCATGCCGACTGTGCCGAAGCGTAAACATATGCTCGTTTCTCACCATTCCCCCTCCCCTCTGCTTCATTAGCATCCAAAAGAGCTTGTATCTAAACCCACAACTCTTTTGCAATCAGAGGAGTGTGCGACCTGTACATGGAATAAGCTTAGGGCAACAAGGGTGCGGATGAGAACTGCGGTAGTGGGAGGCGTGATCTTCATGCCCTGACCATCACCGCTTTTCAGGGTTTGTTTCCAATTTTTCTGAAAACAACATAGAACAGAACCTTCTCTATCTTCCTTACTCTACTTTTCAGTGAAAATGACATTACTATGAGAAAAAGCTCAGAGTTCCTTGAACGTACGCACCTTCTCCATGACTTAACCACTGAGTCTCTCGATAACCACTCTTCTTTTGAACTGACACCCAGCCAGTTGCCCTGGGCTCTTCACTATACAATCTTCTCTCTTTAGGTGAACGGCTTGCTCTGGGTATTCCATCCACTGTCTCGGGAATTTCTATCCGATGCTGAGACAGTTCGAACCGTGCTGAGTGCCAAGAAGTCTTCCCTGACACCAATTATTGCTGGATCTGAAGGTAAGTTTCCTTAACATTTCATTTTAAACTCAAGAGAGATACAACACATCATAGTTCACCACTGCCTTTGTTCTGGTCCTGGAGAACTTCTCAGTAAGCTGCATTCGGCTGCAGTTTTTCAAAATCAACGAATTAAGGTGACGTGCTTTCACGGCTTCGTGCCGCCTTTAAACTTCGTCTTCTGACCTTGTTGGCAAACGAACTAAGTGGAGAGGACAGTGCTAAAGAGATTGATGTTGTCGATGTTTCTCGCCTTCTTATCAGCATCTCTATGGCGAATGGTCTTCCGAAGAAAGAGAACAATTGGGGTAAGTTTTCTGCTCACAGCGATTCAGCATCTGGAATCGCAACCTTCAAGGCCCACTGAGCTCTTCTGCCCTTTGTTCGGAATATAGATATTACTATTTTTAGACTGTGCCACGACTCTCACCGAAGGCGACGGAATGTGCACATGGTGGACGCATGTTTTCACATGCGCACTGTTCTGGAAACAGGGAATGCGTGAGAAAGCCAAGCAGCATTACGCTGTGGTCAGGCGATGCCCACCGGAACTGCTAAACAGGTGAGTGACAGCCAGGATTGCTGGGTCACTAGTGCAGAAACTGTATTGTCACACTACTTTTCCCTCTCAGCCCTTTGGCGCTTGCACTCGGGCATGCATTTTGCTGCCGAAAGTTGTGCATCGACGATCGAGACAATGCGAATTTCGGCAAATTTGTTTTCATTCATTCTCGTAAAGCACTGGAGCAATTGCGGACAGCCTGCGCACGTCAGAGTGCATCAGAAGTCAGCCAACTGCAGGTGAGAGACTCGTCACCCTCCTCAGACTTTCAAGTGCGTATCCCCGAATGACTATCGCTAAGGACACACTTCGTCGGTTGGCATACGAATGGGTCATGTCCTCGCTTTTGGACGCATGGCGTCAAGATCTCGAGCCGCAGGTTCCGTACTGGTGTCAACAAGCCCAAGCCGATTATCGAACGCTCTACCAGGAGGCCTGCAATCACTACACGCATCTTCAGCTTCATGGTGGTGGCGAACGAGGAAGTCGGGTGAGTTCCGAAGTTTTCAAAAGCAGCTTTCCCCAAGATCCTCACTTTTTCGCCACGATGGGGAAGCGTGGGAAAGGAGACATCTCGCTTCATCTTGCTTCCACACTTCCAAGCCGAGAGAGACACAAATCCTTTCAACCCATTTATCCATTCGTGTCAGGTGGGGCCCAAAAATGGAATTTATTTCCCTACTCCTTTGTCCCGAATACTGTTTTCTGATACCCCGCTCTGTGCCTGTCAGTTGTCCAATGTGTGTGGAGTACTCCGAACTCCGAGCTGGAGGAAGTTTCCTATACTATGCGTTTCTAAACCTAGCAAGTAGGCTTGTTTGTAGTTAATTTTCAGCTCGCTGCCTACCAGTTGACATCACGAATGCTTAACGGCGCCAACCCGCTTCACACTTGGACGGCAGTGTGCCGCATACGGAAGGAACGCTTCGACGCGGTTCGTTCCTTCAGTCCGTTGCCATTTTCGTGCACCTATTGTTTCATCTAATTAAGGTTAGCGGCAGAGTCACCTATACTCGAGCCCAACAGCCCGATCCTTTCCACCTGCATGTGCTGTGCAAGCTGCACGATGACATTCCACGAATGTGTGAACGAGTGAAGTAGCTGAGGTAGATCTGGGCGCGAAGCCACGCCTTGGCCAACGTAAAAGTACCGCTCCTGATCTGCTCACTTCGAACACAACGAAACACTGGTAAACGATGGCTTCACGCCACTTTGTCCAATTGGCTGATCTCAATCCCATAAATGAATCTTGCGTGATTGCCATGCATCATACCATTTACGTTCAAATTAGTTAGTCTAAGTGCTGTGTTGTGTCATGGTGTTGAATTTCTTGTTGAATAAGTTATAACTGAAGCCGATCCCAAATTCAGCAACCATATCAATCATATTATGAAAGATTCGTTTGCCAAACATATCGATATTTTAATTGCTTTGGAAGTAGAACACTGAAGCTGTTGCTGATTAGACTTGAAAACGCATTCTACGACTGTTTCGGTGGGCAAAAAATACTCGAGAGCTCACAACCATTGTGCCCTTCACTTTGGTGTGTCCACATCTCTTAGTATCGGAGATAAAGGGGAGGTCAGTGAGGAAGGTGTGATTATGGGTCTCTTCCCTTTTCTCTCACGTGCTCATTGTATAATGCTTTTAGAGGCAGTGTATATACAGCTACATCGAGACCGTTTACTACTCTATGTCCATGAAGAATACCCATTCAAGCCGTCATAAGTTGAATACGGATTTTCAAAGAAACACACACACACACACACACACACACACACACACACACACACACACACACACACACACACACACACACACACACACACACACACACACACACACACACCACCTTAGTGCCCACTGCTTATTAAGCAATAACACGTTGCATATTGGCAATAATGAAATCCTTTTCGTTAGCTTCTCCTTTGAGAAATATTGGCCGTCTGATGAGCGGTGATTTCTAACCATTTTCCTTCCTTATTAACACCGTGTGACGTTTGTCGTTCACGGCGGACGACGAACGCCAAAACCTTCCGTCCGTTGTTTTCCCCTGTTGATTTCCTCCCCTTTTCCGTTAACCTTTTCACATTCTTTTACATTCTCTCCCTTCACAAGTTTTCATGCAATTTTCTGTAGACTAAGTAGGTTTCTTGTGCTTTCTGAGGTTGATTGAAATCTGACGGGATAGCATTTTTATTAGAAAGTATATACAAATAATAATGCAAATAATTCGCAAGTAATAATAGGAAGATTTTTTGTTTTCTGTGATTTCTCTCCGACTTCTCCGGAATTCTTTTCTCTTTTCACTTTTGAACTAACAAGGGAATGGTTTGAACTTCCCATGGAACTTTGAATGGAGACCTAGGTACATCGATAGAGCCTCGAATGCTGATTACGAATATGCAGATTAAAAGTGCTACGGGGACCTCCCAGACGAGATCTGGGTGGTCAAAGTTTGAGTTCTGGCTCGTAAGCGCTGCTGATCGATGCTCGGCAGTGCCACCGTGGCCTCGTGGTAATGGTCTCGCTTTCAAGTCAAACGCATGCGGGTTTGCATCCGGTTGGCGCGAAAATTTTTGCTTCGCTCCGTATAAGAGCTTCAACTCTAATTTTCGAAATTCTTCCGAATTTACGGCCCAGCAGGGCAAGTAGATCAAGTACATCAAGTATACGACGTACTCGATCTAGTATGGATTTGGTCATATCTGCCCTCTCTGAACATATTACCCATCCGACAATTCAAAGTTTTGCCCAGAATCGCAATTTGGCCAGACGAGCGTTTTTTCGTCGAAGGATGTGATATTCGTGTTCAGGGGGTCGAAATCTCCCATGAACGAATTTCTCGCTAAAACTTTGAATTGTCGGATGGGTAATATGTTCAGAGAGGGCAGATATGACCAAATCCATACTAGATCGAGTACGTCGTATACTTGATGTACTTGATCTACTTGCCCTGCTGGGCCGTAAATTCGGAAGAATTTCGAAAATTAGAGTTGAAGCTCTTATACGGAGCGAAGCAAAAATTTTCGCGCCAACCGGATGCAAACCCGCATGCGTTTGACTTGAAAGCGAGACCATTACCACGAGGCCACGGTGGCACTGCCGAGGCATCGATCAGCAGCGCTTACGAGCCAGAACTCAAACTTTGACCACCCAGATCTCGTCTGGGAGGTCCCCGTAGCACTTTTAATCTGCATATTCGTAATCAGCATTCGAGGCTCTATCGATGTACCTAGGTCTCCATTCAAAGTTCCATGGGAAGTTCAAACCATTCCCTTGTAAGTTGTTCCTGATGCAGAAGCTGATGTGGATGACTACGTCGTCCTAATAAACTTCCACATTGAAATCAGCTCCTTTCAGAAAAGAAAAGGAAAATTAACAGTAGTATTATTATTTGCGTTATTATTTGAATACAAACTTCAATAAAAAAAGAAGAAAGCCCACAAGGAAGTAGGCTAAGGGGCGTGTGCTTCTGGGAGTGCGCAAATGGCCGCAAGAAGGCATTTCACGGGGCTAAAAAAGGAATTTTCACGTGTTTTTGTGGCAGTAGATCCTTCCGGAATCTGTTAATATTATTTCTGTTGTTCGCATTATTAATTGTATCCGATTGTAAATGAAAAAGGAAAAAGTCACAAAAAACCAGCGAAGAGGCGCGTGTACTCCCGGGAGTACACGATTCGCCGAAAGCGGAGTTTTTTCGTGTACTCCCGGGAGTACACGCCGCCACGAACGTGTAAGGCGCTCTGCATCGCCGTGTTAGAAGAAAGGAAGCATCATGGGCAAGCCATACCATCGGGGAAGGCACACTGGTACTTGTCCCTGTTCGTCGAACTACTGCGGAGTATTTTCTTAATATCAGTCATATTTCTGTGTATTGTTTTCCGCGTGATTCAGATCTGTTTTAACTGTTGTGATTGGTACTCTGGAACACTTATTTGCTCAGATATTTGTAATTTTTGCTCAACGTTCCTGATGTATTTGACTGTATTTTGTTCCATTACTGTAGCACCTGCTTCCTACATTTGTTATTGTTTCAGGGCATTCAGCGGTTCATGCTATGTCTTGTATAAAGCTTATTGTTTCGTGGTAACGTGTTCCCATCTTATCCTTCTTCTTAACATTTTACTCTGGTGGGGCGTTCGTTTTCCGGATCGATAATCGCTACTTCGCGCGAGCCAACGACTAATAGCGACGGGTACGACGTGGCCATACAGCTGAGTCGCCATTCTCGCATCTTTCCTGCTGTTGACACTACGCCCACCTGTTGGCGACAGGGTGCATCGTTCTGTAAAACCTATAAGAGGGGAGGTGTCGTACTTGGCCGCTGGGGAGGAGGGGGGGGGGAGGCCGCAAGCGCAGGGTCGGTGCAAAACAGCACAAAAAGTCATAGCTAAGTTTGGTGGAGCGGACGGGAAGCAGCAGAGGCCGAATGTAGGAAGACTACAAAATATCAAATCAATTGACTAGCAATTTCAATACTTAGCATGGACTCGTAAGTATGTAGATGACTAAATAATACATCTAAAACAGATTTGTGCGTATCGACCTTTCCAAACCCTAAACAAACCTCTGCTCGCATGGACAAAAATCACCGAAACTCAGGGTTACACCTTTCCAGCACCTCTGCGTAGAAGCGTATGCACGGCGCACACACGGAAAAATGTCGATCGATGATAACTAAACTTACGCTTTGGCTCAGTTCAAGGGAATAATTGTTTTTATTTATTTATTTATTTGTGGACGCAGTGTATCTGCGCTTCATAATTGTACAATCACAATCGACAAGCACATCAATTGAAGTCAGACAAATCCCGTAAATGTGAGAACTTAGGAGACCTCTGAATTAACTAGCCTGGTGGCCCTTATACGAAAGGCTCCAGGTGACAATTGGAAAATATCTTCGCCAAAAATTTTGTTCAATAAGTGTAGCACTCTGATCGCAAAGAATTCAGACCTGACTTGGGTTCTCGATACATGAGCCCTGATAGTCCCCCTCTAGTCTCAGAGGTGAGTAAAGAATTCATCCGATTTGACCGTTGCTCTACCTCTTAGGATCTTAGAAGCCATCATGAGGTCATTGATCGATCTTCTATCAAGGAGACTAGATAGGCAGTAAAGACAGCGTCTTTCTACTGCGCTTAGAAGAGAATCATAGCTCATTCCGGCTTTCCAAGAGTTTAATATCTTTTTTTATAGCGAGAATACTGAAGTCCCATGTTCCACTACAGGTCTAACATAGGATTTATAGGCCTGCAGCAATACCTTGGGATTTTTCGAATTCAGTGCTTTGAAGAGAGTATAAATTCTGTTGTTAGCCTTGGAAACCAGTGACTTATAATGTGTTTCAAATCCAAGTTTGTTGGAGAAGATGAAACCAAGGTCCTTTATCTCTTGAACTGACTCTAAAGTTACTGATCCAATTTTGTAGCTACGACTGAAACGTTCATTACCGATTCTTAAAACTTTGGTTTTATCGGGAGCTAGGGGTAATCCCCAATTCTCCGACCAACATACAATATGATCAATAGCTCTCTGCAGGTCCTCGCAGTCGGACGCACTTTCAATAACTTTGTACAGTTTGATATCATCGGCATACATCAAGCATTTGACCCCAAATCCAGACAAGGAGGTGGGGAGACAGGCCGTATAAGCAATAAACAGTGAACAAACTCCATCCCTGAGGAACGCCACTAGTGATCGAATACTTCGAAGAAAAGCTATCCCCAATTCGCACTTGGTATGTACGATTGCAAAGGAACGATTCAATCCAGCGTACTATGAGAGGATAAATTCTGAGCAATTCTAACTTCGCAGTGAGTTTGCGGCCGATCGAACGCTTTTGCAAAGTCAAAATATACCAAGTGTATAGGTTTTCTGCTATCAAGTGCGCTAGTCTAGTCATTGAGAGAAGTGTCTGCGTCGCGACAAACCGTGGCCGGAAAATCCGTGCGCCTGGGCTCTTACGCGCTACACCCGGCAATGCGCGCGACGCGAACTCGCCAACGGCGCGCCGCAGCCGCGCCGCCGCCCCGCCCCCAGTGGAGCCCTTATAAGGGCTGCTGCGAGCCAGTCGGTGTTGCTTCTCTCCCTCCGGGAGGAGAGATCCACCGGGCACCCGCTCTGGGCCGCCATATGCCGACGGTTCTCCAGGCTCTGTACAGCAGTGTGGTCGGGCACACTGCTCCGTCTGGCGGAGCTCTGGCTCAGGCCCGTGCCTGCTATGACCCGAAGGCACGGCCGGCTGTGGGTTGCAGCTTGTAGCCGCAGAGCGCCCTTTACCGCTAGGATTACCGCTAGGACAGATGGCAGATGGATGGTCAGTCCAGCTACGGCAGGATGTAAAGGACAGATGGAAGATGGTTACCGCAACACGTGAGTCAATAAATATGATGTTTATTTGTCTTGTTATGTTGCAATAGATGGGAGTTGGGAGCGACCGGGCAAGTGGGCCCTAATTGTCTGATAAGGCCAGGAAAAGTACAGGTTGGGTTTAGGTATATTTACTTATTCATTTGTTCATATTTCGTTGGGTGTTTGTTGTGGTTTGGTTGTTGCACTTGCCTCGGGGGCGGTAAAGTAGTGCATGCCGTCGACCGGTTACGGGAGGCCTGTGACAGTAGCAGGGCGCCGGGCCGACGGCGTGGGGGTCCAGGAACAATAAAACTCGGAATAAAAACAAACATGAGGGAGGTCGGACCCTCCATGGGACATTGCAGTGGGAGGGCCGGCCGACCTGGGGGTCCAGGACGGACATGAGGGAGGTCGGACCCCCCACGGGGACATGCCTGGTCATGGGCTGCCGTCCCCTTCAGCCTGTCACGGGCGTAGACCCGGGCGTCGCTCCGGAATCGTGAGACTGAAATATCGTGCGGGAAATGCGATATGCGCCCCGGGGAACTGTGACCGGAGGTGCGCTAAAGTGCGTGTGTAAGCGGGACCCCTCGTTCACCGATGCTGTCTCGTGGGAGAGACGCTAGTAGGTGCGGTCTCTCTGTTGAACTGGCGAGCAAGAAAGTAAGTAATGCAGTTTCTGTTGATTTACCCGTAGAGAAACCGTGCTGATTTGTGGGAATAAGACTGTCTGGTTCAAATAAGTAGTCACCTTACCTTTGACTATTTTTTCGAAAAGCCGTGCAAAAACAGAAGTGATACTTATGGGCCGATAGTTGGAAGGATTGCTAAAGGGAGGCTTCTTCGGAACTGGAACAATGAAAGAGTGTCTCCACCTTGATGGGACTTCCGATCTCATATATGACAAATTAAAGAGTAGTTCCAAAGGAAAAGCAAGACAGTGCGCAATCCTTTAATGAGATGAAGAGGTATAAAGTCAGGTGTTACCGAATGGGAGTTAGGCCATTTTGAAAGCAAGTCAAAGATCTCATCTCTGTGAAACCATAGATCTGGACCCATAGTAGATCCACAGGGGGGGGGGAAGCTTATGAGAGAACACATCGTCTTCTTTCGCGAAAATTCCTTGGAAATGTTCTGCTAATATCTCCGCCTTTTCTCCATCAAGTATGACGATTTTTGACTGACTGGTACGCAAGGCAGGAATTTTCTTGGGTTCATTGAGGCGTTTATTAATGTATGTGAATAACTTTGTGGAGTCCCCTGACTCGACAACCTTCTTTTCCAAATAGGCATTATATCTAAGCAACCGCCTATTGAGTCTGCTGTCCAAAATCTTATATTTACTCCACATGCGGTCACTACCCTCAGCTACGGCATAAGGACCAAATTTTCCTGCGCTGACTTATCATTCTTTCAAGGTACCGAGGAAGTTTGTACTTTGCGATTCTGGTCTTTCGAAGAGGAGCAAACATAATCCTCTCTATATATAAAGCAGAAGTTGTGTGTTTGTATGCTTGCGTGTTCACCCGAAAATTGGGGACTGTGTGGAAAATCACTTTTGGCGAACGGATCAAGCTTGGGATGGTTGTGGCATGGGACAACATTTACAGAACACCTACAAGGTAACCTAGGCTCCGCCCACAATGGGCGGGGCATCGGCGGAAGTGAACGGTGCCATGGATAAAAATTTTTAAAACGTATCCTGAGCAACCCGAAGGATGGTAATGTGCTTGAAGGGCGACAGCGGGAAGCCAGATGAAGTAAGGGAGAGACACCTCAGCAAAAGTAAGGGGCAAAAGTTATATTTTTGTCTCAAGACAAATGAGAATAGTAGTGAACATGAGGTCGAAATCGAAAATTTATAACTTATTTGTATTTATTTATTTGTTTA